TTTTTTTTTTTTTCGGTAACTTTTACTATTAAACACCAAATGAGTTACTCATAAGCTTGAGTTTCATTAAGATTCAAAAATAGAAAATTTAATACAACTTTTTATAGTTCTACTCGTAATAAATAAGACAAGAACTCGGTTCGTTTACACTTATAGTCTATCTAATAACAACATTTTTATGAAAATATACTATACAAATGTAAGTTTTCATATTTTCAACATCTATAATCTTGAGGTAATCTAGATACAAGTATTTGTCGCAATTGATAATCTTAATCTATTCACGTACGTTTTCATATTTTTCTAGATCCATAATCTTAAGGAATCTAGAAATAAACATTTGTGAAATTGGTAATCCTAAATCTACTCGCATTATGATAGCTCATTTCACAAATTCGCATAATATATAATACTTATATTTATAACATCTTTCATTTGATGCTCTCTTCAATGTCATAATTTTGAGGTAAAGTTACAAGTTACTACTCTTGCAATATCACTCGCATAATTATCTTAACCAACTTAGCTACTGCAAAGTGCGAACTACATACATTTGTACCCTAAAAAAAGTCTCAAATACAGAACTGACATATGCAAGTACATCCGCAGCCGGCCAGGTTTAAGAGAAAACCACTAAAATCAAGAAAATGAGAAGAATTTGTATTTAACTGATTCACCCTAAAGCTGGAACCTCTGTATAAAGCATGCATTTTTCCTTCAAAGTGTCGGTCTTGGATAATATTTGCTTCGTAATAATTGCCGCCAAACTCAGCAACTTAAAGAATGATCTAACTAATATCACGTCCCGTGAACAAATCCCCTTTCCTACAGTTGCTCCAATTTCGTCACACTCCACATTCAGTTTGCTGTCGGTTTCTGTATCAGCCCTCATACGAGGTCTCTATTCTTCGTAGATCAAGCCAAGGAACAAACCTTGTCTGCAAAACCCGTTATTTTATAACCAGAGTTAAAGATAGATAAAGGTCAAATTTTAGTGGGTCCCACTTGTTACCTTGCCGGGAGTAACTGCAGCACAAATTACTGTCGTCGATATAGGTTGCTTGAACACCCATCATCCATGAACCCATAGAGGTGTCATCATGAGCATAAGTCTTTAGAGATGCACTGCATTTATGTAGTTATTATACAACAATTATAGTAACAAAAATCGGAAGCACACAGCATTATCATAATTATGACTAACCTGTTAATATTTATATATTGCGCCAAATTTTTCGAGAGTATAACGATCGGACCAGCTGCATGGCGGAAGTACCTGAAAGAAAAAGTCAATGTCTTTTCATGAAAAAAGTATAAAGAAAAAAGAAATGTGAGGAAAAGTTATCGTGGTGCAACTAAAATGACTCTCAAGTCTCAACCAATCTGTTACATTACAAACAACATAAAAGAAGTGATGAAAAAGTAAAGAAAAAAGAAATGTGATTAAAAGTTATCCATGGTGCAGCTAAAATGACTCTCAAACCAATCTATTAGATTAGAACAAACAATATAAATGCGTGAATGCGAGTGTGCGCTAGGACTGCGGGTTTTTTGATACAAGCACAAGTCTATTAAAAATAACAAGCACCGCTATGGTAAGTACTAAGTACTTACGATTTCTGATCACCAAATTTCCACCATTCGGGTTCGTACCATGGCTTTCCCCTGAAAGTTTTAAGCAAAATAATTAGAACTCATAACTAGGTAATTCATATTAACAGAATCCCGTTGCAAATACACGAAAAACGAGTCTTTGCTGAGTAACATCCAAAATAATGATGTATGCAAAGACACGTGCCTCCTTTGAGAACTCATATTAACCTACATATTGTACTATACAGAATTTTAATCGTTAGCCAACTAGAATTGTCGAGTATCATATATGAAAATTAAGATTTTTTTTTTTCTCTTTAACTCCTTCACCCATGAAAAATCAAGAGAAGTCGGGGAGCATACTTTTCAACAACTACTTCCCCGGACTTCATGCAACCAATGTAAGCATTATCTTTATCATGACGGCTTTGGAGAAGTTCAACCAGACCACCTGCCAAGGGCTCAGAATAAAATATCTTCATTAGTCAAAGAAGTACTGGATAATTTAGGAGTTTAAATTTTCTAGTAGTAGCAAATCCAAATTTACCAATATTCAAATCAACATTGTCGTCGACTTTTACATAAAAGTCTGCATCCCATATCTGGACTGCGGTGCTAAAGAAATACTTTGCTTTTTTGGGCAACTCCTCTTCAGCCTCCTCATGATGATCCTAAAAGATTACAATTGTTTTATGAATGATATTAATGCGCATTTGATAACTCTAACAACTTATTACGAAAACAACACAAAATTATCCTCATTGCCATCTCGTAAGATTTCACATTAATGATTGCCATAGTACTAGGAGCGTTATGGAAAAACATTCACAATGACTATCCAATGAGAGAAAAAAGAGAATAGACACAAAAGAAAGTTGAACTAGAAGAATCTATGAGGCGCAGATAATTATGAAGCTGAACAAACATGCGTATAAACGACTCACGAGAATCAGAAAGTCATTCGTTGAGCGATTTTCCTCATCAATATTGCGGTCCAAGCTGTCACCACGATTAGCACTGCAAAGACAAAATGAGAATTCAAATTCTAGTTAATACTCGATTGAGATCTAGAGTGACACTCAAAATGATACTAGAATGTGACTAAAGTAAAATATTCTTGACTTTTTTTTAATGTAACAAACAAATGCGCATAAGAAGTGGGAGACCTCCGTCCAATCACAAATCGAACAATAATTCCTCTTTCTTCAAGTTTTGATAGCACATCAGCTGCAACCACAATCGAGTTCATCAAAATCTTCAATGGCTGCTATGTTCATAATAGTACAGAATATATCCTAGAAATCATTATATAAGGATCTCACATATAGGGAAAAATGAACTATAACAAACCTTTTGACATCCAAGTTCCCCTGATAACATTGCGCCTTAACCGACCTCCAAAGCCAGTATAAACTCCAATAACAGCAAGGAACTTCTTACCAGAAGAAGAACCACTTTGCTGTACTTGGTTCTTTAGATAACCTTGGCTCTTGGCCAATGTCAATTCCATCTCAGCTTCAACAATCCTCCTCTCTAGTTCCCTATAGCACTCATCAACATAAGAAAAAAATAACTTGTCTCATATAATATGTATTTGAAAGAAATAGAGCTATGCGAGGACGTACTTGCATCCAAGGACCATTAGTTTGTCTTCCACGGTAAGCACCCGAGGTTGCTGCCAACAAAAGTATGCACATTTAGTCGTATAAAATTTTCATTTTCCATTCCTCTACACGAGGATGTACATAAATGCTCAAGTGAAAGAAACCATAATCACATGCATATATTTGTGTGTGTGTGTGTGTGTGCATTCGTATCCCACTAGATCCTTTCCCGACGCTGTACAGATAGATTATATAATAATTATGTCATAAACCCCTATTGTTTCAATAATTCCTTTCTATCAACTCTTTCATCCTTGAAGAATGTCTATCCAATCAGTGATTCATGTTCGATAACTAGAAAATTGCAAAAGGAATTTCTACTTCAAATGTTCTGTTCGTCAGTATTCATTTTCAGTTTGTCTTTATCCGCCTTTTCGCATTATCCAAACTCAACAACAAACTTTTTCCAACCGAATGTCTCTCTATTATCAATTCAACACCCCCTAATACTGTTTACGCAAAGCATAGCCCTTTCAGGGACCAAAATCACAAAGATCCGAACCAACAACAGAAAATTAAATGGGAAAAAACAGATCTTGAGAATTCAAACCTGACCATAATTCTTCTTTAACAAACCCGCCAGCAACATTCTGTTCTCCGCATCTTGCCACAACCTTTACACAAATAACCCAAAGAGAAAAAAAACATATCACAATAACATGGAAACACTACCAACCGTAAAAGGAGATCGGCGGAAAAAGAACAGGAAAATGCAGAAAACTCACCGGCCAGCAACGTAGAGCCAAGCAAGACAAGAAAGAAACCCCATGAGAAGAGAGGATTTGGAGGAGCTCTGATAAGTCTTGGATTTCGATCGCCGCTCGGATTTCGAGGACGCCGTCATCGTCACCGGCAAGCTGCTGTCCATTTTTATCAGTGAAATTTATCGGCGATTACTTGATCAGTCAACTGGGTCGAAAATTAGGAGGAAAATATTGATAGAAAACGATAAAATCGGGAGAAAATGAACTCCTCCGACTTTTGATGTTATTTTTTGAATTGGGAGGAAGGAATGGAAAGATGAAATGATGGAAGAAAGAGATGAAAATGAAGAATGTTCGGAGATTATTTGCTCAGATGTGTTTGAAACGAAACGTCAGTTGTCAGTTTGCTTAACGGGGCAGCAACTCAGCCAAGCCCAGCCCAAATCTCAAATTTCTTTGCTCAGCCCTGAATAATTTGAGAACCCGGAATGATTATGAGGTTATTAATAGCAGAGGCCGGTTTTTTAGCCATTCTTTGAAAGGAAAAATAATATATAGCAATTGTGGGGAAAAAAATGAAAAGTAGCTACTCTAAGTGGCGAAAAGATTATTGTACCTTTATTAATGGTTTTAACCTAACAACTCTTTTCTTCTTTCTCATTTACGCCTCCTACCTCCTCTGTAAGAACGAAGTTCCTCCTACCTCGTCTGAAAAGAAAAAAAAAAAAGATTGAAATAACGAAAATCTCATCTGGTCCAAAATCATCTCCATCATCTACAAGTACATTTCTTTGGAAAGAAAGGTACATAAAACTTTCGAAATTCATATCTAACAATTTGTAAACCTAATTTTATAATTTTTTTTAAATGTGAAATAAATAATTTTTTTGAAAACATTTAATTTCAAAACTATTTTTGTAGAACTATTTTTTTATTTTCCTGAAAACATTTAATTTTTTTATTGATTTTTGTAGAAGTATTTTTTTTTTGTTCAACTCATATATTTTTCTTCTGAAATTGAAGAAAATTGAGTTTTTTTTGGAAGTTTAAGAAAATATTATTTCTTCTTTTAGTTTATTTTGAACAAAAAAACGGTGCTCAGCGTCGCGACAATCCTATAAGTCCCGCGCCGCGGCAAAGCTCCACGCCGTGATGGCCTGGGGGAGTTGACTAAGAAACTGTTGCTTTGCCAAGAAACTGTTGTTTGTTCAAGAAACCTGTTTCTTGCGCACGAAATTGTAATTTTCTCAAGAAATTGTATTTTGCTCTAGAAACTGTTTATTTTGCTCAAGAAACTGCTGCTTGTTCAGGAAACCTGATTGAATAAAAAACAGGTATCTTGAGTTCTCAAAAACACTATTATTGAGGTCCAACTTATCCTTTCAAGCAAACTATTTGTGTTAATAATTTTTTTTTTTTGTTCAGATGGACGTTGGGAAAGTGCGTATTGTTCACAGTGGCTTTTAGGATGGGAATGTGTACAAAAATGGCGAGATAGAGATGAAATTTTTGTGTCTAAGGACCTCATCTTATGAAGGTTTTTTAAATAGAGTTCACGATATTGTTCGTGCAGACAGAAACATGTGTGACTACAGATTTCACTTTCTAGTGGCCGGTGATAACGGAGATGTGGAGAAATGGCGAATCTCATGTGAATCAGATCTCCGAAATGTGTTTGACATGTTCCCAATACCTACCATATACGTTACGTTACAGTCGAAGGATCGTCCAGCTCCGTACAACCAGGCGAGTGTACCAACGTACCCTTCGTATGGCCATATCGGCGGACAAGGTGGGTTTATGAATCTAGTTGCTGCTCAGGGCCCACCTCTCTATCCATATGGTGCTGTGTATCCAACTTTTATGAACTTACACAGTCAACCATCAACATCGCATCCGCCGAACAATAACAACAACGTAGTGTCTGACAATAGAAGGATAGAATCAAATGAAGCTGATGCCTTTCATTATTCTCCTGAACAAGGTCATTGGGGTGTGGATAGTGGGTGCCATGGGGATTCTACTGCGAATGATGAAGGTGATGATGACGAGCAAGATTGTGATGCTTTCAGTGATGATGTGAACATCAATGATAATCCTTATGCCAATGACGATTTCGTAGATGAGCTTGATGATAGCAATGATGATTCAGACTTCATTATTGAAGAAGATTATATGCTTGTCTCCGAAGATGATGAAGATGGCGACAACAATGTTGTGTCGCCCTCAAACATTATTGGTGGGGTAAATGAGCATATTCTACGCAACAAGAAGAGTGTAGCTATTAAGATCATGGAAATAGTGAAAGAAATAGTGAACAATTAAGATCATGGAAACCTTCAGCACATCAACGGAATATTCTGAAAATGACCGTTCGTGAAATCCCTCAACAGATCACCTCCTATCACACTCTCGCCGTCATAGTGGCGTCGATATACCCCATCAATGGACGGTAAACTCTCATTCTCCTCGGGGATGAATTCCGACTCACCAAACATCAAGCCACTGATTTGGCAAAATTCGACTTTCCCGAATTTATAATTATTGCCTCCAATTCGAAACCAACGCTCCTTCTCTCGAGCGTCACGGAGAAAAACCTCTCGACCAAGTAAGGCAAGTAGTAGTCTCCCACTAAAGTACGCTTGCTCATCAAACCTCATGAATTGTCCAAAACAAGATTGTTCAAACTCCCGAAGACGGCCACAAGCACCTAATTGACGCTTAATATAGCCTATTACTTTAGGCTTCGTCTGACAATTGATTCTGCCGCTCCAAGTGTAACCTTTACCCTATCTCCAACTCCAAGAGTCCCCCTAACAATCATGAAACAATCAATATTACTTTAATTTTTTTAAAAACACAATATTAAAAAACAGGTTAAAAACTAGTTTCTTGTTAAAAAAACAAGCTTCTTTACAAGAAACAGGTTTCTTGTCAAGAAACATTGTTTCTTGTGAAGAAAGAGGTTTCTTGACAAGAAACATGTTTCCTGTCAAGAAAGAAATAGGTTTCTTGTCAAGAAAGTTGTTTCTTGTCAAGAAAGAAACAGGTTTCTTGTCAAGAAACAGGCTTCTTGTCAAGAAACAGGTTTCTTGACAAACAGAAGTTTTCCCACGTAAACTACAAAACTTATTTTTGTGTCAAAAAACACCATACCTCATTAGCGGTTGCCATCTCGTCGTGTTCCAAGAATAGCGCCTCAAAGAGGTAAAAGGTTTGTATGAAGATCTTTTTTCAAACTAAGAAAATGAAGAAATGCATCAATTTACATTTAAAGATGACTACTTCTTCACGATATATAAAATTAGTAGCAAAAGCCCAATTAACTCAAAACGGAAGACATACTTAGGGTGGCATTTAAGAATGAACACTACACTCAAAAAGTCTCATTTAAGAATGAACACTACACTCAAAAAAGTCTCATTTAAGAATGAACACTACACTAAAAAAAGTCTCATTTACATCCATTCCAAAAACAAGAAATTCTCTAACCATCAAACATGATTCACAACACAAAGAGAAGATAACTTGCAAACCTTAACACCGAAAATAAGGTTTGTTCAATTTGCCTCTCACACCATCACTCATAAAATCATCTAAATGCTTAAGCCTTGTTCAATTTCCCATAATCTTTGCCCATTCAAAACACAACATTTTCACGACATAAGACCTCTGAAATATCATTATTTCAGAGGCACACATCGACAACAACATGTGATTCAGTAATAAAATATGCATAGGACGAAAATCAACAATTACACCTCATACTTTGAAACATCATAAATCATGCTACTCTTAACATTTGAAGTTGAAAATTTACCATGATGAACACAACATACTCAGAATATAGCAGGCCAAAAATCAGCCAATTCTCACAAAGATAAGCAGTCCAATTCATTTGGACATGATTTGCTCATTCAAATCATAACTCAAAGACATAGCACACATCATACACATGTTCGACAATTTCAATATCCAAACTTTACTCATACTCGTGAATCAATCCATGGGCAAATTAACACCCTAAAAATGAACACATCAATTTTCATTTTCCTTACAAGTTAATTAGTGATTTTCATTTCCAGGTCTGTTGAAGTGTTGAACACATAAGATCCAAAAAAACACTTTACAGTAAAAAAAAATACTTCCCAGTCACATTAGGCCGAACATGTGTTAAGGAACCCTCAAAAATCCTAAAAAATACTTCCCAGTCACATTAAGGAACCGCACCTTGGGAAGAGCAGCGGCGCCGGGGAGGAGCAGCGGGTGTGACTCGCCGGAATGGGAAGAGCAGCGGAAATGAGAAGAGCAGCAGCCTGTGAGTCGCCGGAATGAGACGAGCAGCGGATTGTGAATCGCCGGAATGAGAAGGGCGTAATAGACGGACAGGGAGTCGTCGGAAGAGATGAACAGCAGTCGGTGAAAATGAACTCGCTTGGGCGGAAGAAAATGAAAATTTCAATTTTTTGCAATTGGAGAAAATGAAAGTGCAGAGCGGGCTTGGGCGGAAGAAATGAGGAAAAAAAGGAAAGGGAAAAAATGAAACAGATGTCCTAAGGGCAATTATGTACTTTTATCTACCAAAATGGCTAGGTTTAATTTTTTTAAAAAAGAGTGCCATATTTCATTTTTACTTTCACTTAAGTGCTATAAAGGGGTATTACCACCACCTCATAAACATGAACAGTTACAGGAAAGAAACATAACCACTATGCAAAAAAACCAAAAATTATACGTTTAAAGCAATTTACAAAAGTTCTTTATCTATACATTTGGCAATCTATTCTCAANATTTGAATCACTCAACAAAACACTTTCTGGTTCTAACACAAATAACAAACAAAATTCACGCGACAGATCAACACGTAAAAGATATCACAAAATAAAAATTCAACTTCCATCACAAAGCAAGCCTCCCTATTTCGGCTCCAAATTAGAAGGAGGATAATTCCCACTGTAAGCAAACAAGCTGTCATTACTGTACGGATGCTCGAAACTTTTGCTCGCCCCTTCATAACTTGCTGAGGTGGAAGCTGACTCAGCATTAGGATTCATACCAGCCATTTTCATAATATTCTCAATCTCCTTAACAACCTCACTCATTGTAGGCCTGTGAACACCTAGCTCCTGAACACACGCTAGAGCCAGGTCAGCAAGTTTTTCGACGCTTGCTGGCGACAGGCTGGCGGCAACTACAGGGTCGAGAAGACTTTGGAGATTGTACAGTTCCTTGGACGTGTCCATTAACTGCTTCACCTCACGAACAATGTATTTTCCCTTTTCGATGGGAGTTTTAGAGGTCAGAAGTTCTAGAAGGACTACACCGAAACTGTAGACGTCACTCTTTTCAGTTAGTTGTTGGGTCATGTAGTACTCAGGATCCATGTATCCCTAATATAGTTGCTCCAGAATAGAGCAAAACGCTGGAGTAACGTGAAAAATAATCTCCATAATCTCCAAGGCAGTGCTACATTTTAGCGTTATATCAGATAAATGAACAGTGTTGCGTCAGTTCTAGCGCAGCATTGTAGCATTGTGCCAGATTTTTTTTTTTTCTTTTTATGTATTTTTAATATTAATGAGTAAGTACTTGTAAGGCAAAATTGCAATTTCAGTCCTGTTGGTTTGATCCAATAGTGTTTTTAGTCGTAATAATTGAACATTTTGCTATTTGATCCTATAATTTTAAAATTCAACGCAGTTTCAGTCCTTAGGGACTGAAATTGCAACAAAATTTGATAATACATGACTTAAATTGCTAATAAGAAATCTTTGGGATTGAATTTTTTATTAACAATTTAAGTCTTGTAATTTTAAATTTTGTTGCAATTTCAGTCCAAAAGTATTGAAATTGCAACAAAATACTAAATTATAGGATCAAAATACTAAAAAAAATTAAAATCTTGGAACTAAAAAAGCTATGGCCTTAAACCAGTAGGATTAAAAATGCAATTCTGCCTACTTGTCGTAATTGTGTGGTGTTGAAAGAGTAAGTACACTTGGTCACTTACCATTGTTCCTTTAACTTGGGTTGTAATGTGGTCTCTTCCGGAATCACCCATCGGCTTAGAGAGGCCGAAATCTGCTACTTTGGCATTAAGTCGATCGTCCAATAGAATATTGTTGGATTTGATGTCCCGGTGTATTATGGGAGGGTCAGCAAGATCATGAAGATATTGCAAGCCTCTAGCTGCTCCAAGAGCTATTTTAAGTCTCCTCATCCACTCTAATCTGATCCCTGTCCTTCCTGAAAATTTACAAAATTTAAATAATCAAACAAAGATCCATAAAATTATTTTAAAGAGCTGAAAGACACATTATAACTAGAGAAAACTTGGCGAAAAATAGAAGAACCTGAAAGACTGTCCCTAAGTGTGCCATTTGCAATGTACTCATAAACTAACATTTGTTCATCCTGTTCAAAACAGAATCCAACTAGGCTGACGAGGTTCTTGTGATGGACTCTCGAGAGAAGCTCGATCTCAGTCTTGAACTCCAGCCTGCCCTGCATCGAGCCTTGCTGGGCTCTTTTAATGGCTACCAGTTTCCCGTTCGAAAGTATTCCTCTGTACACCTGAAAAACTTGAAAGAAAAAG